TCTTCATAATAAAATTCTACCCTTTTTAAAGAAAATTGGTACCATAAAAGTAAGATCCACGATCTGAGCTACCAAATTATGCCTCTAAGTGGGGCACTAAATAAAACAGCAGGTAAAAGCACAACTATTTTATGGTACAAACATGTCTAGTCTCTCACTAATAAAAAACCTCCCAAGGTACACTAATAATTTCTAAGTTGATTTCCAGCGTTCTTCGAAAATAAAACGTTTCGCTTCTGTTCGAGAGAGAAGAAAATTTTCCCGCAGAAATATAAACAGGTATAACTCCTCAGCAGTTCTGCAGCAAAACAATGGCATGGAATGAAATTCAATCTATATAAAAGCTGCAGAATTTTATCAACAGTTTATCTCATAATACCGGGCAGACGACCGCAGAGCGCGCGGGTAAAAAATAAAAAATACGAAATTCTCATTTCATGGCCACTTTTTGCAGAATTGCCGCGGCGAGAGAGAATGCGAGATAGGCATGAGTCGAGCATCACAAGAGACCATCTCGGTCGTGTGCGATTTTTCTTTTGTGCGCCACCGAAAGGGCCTTGAAATGCAGCAGCTTCACTTGCAGGCAGATGGACAGACTTCAACTTCAAATTGGCAAATAATTCTGGAGGTCCGATTGAGTGACGCGGGTTAATCAGCAATAAAATTATCCCAGTACACAAAATTTTGGCCAATAAGTGGCGAGACATGAGAAAATTTTTTATTAAGGAAGGCTGTGATAGTGACAAAGATTTTTTGAATTTACGGCATTTTAAGTGTCACGTCACAGATTACTGAAAATTAAGGTTGAAAAGCAGTGCTCATTATCTGTAAAAATGTGCGAGAGACGGTACAAAATTGGGAGGATATATAGGACAGGTTGTAAAAATGCTGGTAAAATTTTAATGAAAATTTAATCTCTCTATTAGGAGCAAAAAGTTCTAACTTAGGTATTAAAATTGTTAAGTTTCTCTCACAAAGTTCCATTTTAAATTATAATTTATTTGGAAAATAAAATATATTTTCAAATACTTTAAAATAAAAGTTTTTGATAGATAATAGTTGGTACTACACATTAATTATTAAAGATTAAAGACTATTAAAATTTCGATTCACTACTCACTGCACAAATGCAATCAATATAATATACTTTAAAAACGTTAATTTCACACTTCTATTAAAAAAATCCACCGCATCTAGACAAAGAGTCGTTTTTGCTGAGGATGCCGAAAATTATCCATTTGCATGCCGCGGCGGCATCAGGAAAGGCGTTGCGGCCGCGGCTCAAAAAGGCAGAAGGGCGTCTGACGCAATGTAGACCAAATAATCGACGCGCATCACACACGCCATAATGGCATAAACAGACCGAATTATATTTGGCAGACACATATAAACGCATGCACGTGTGTGCGTATAGTGCAAATAACAATAATACAACGCGCGTCTCTTGCAATTTGGGCGCGGGTGGTTTCCTTACTCATTATATATTATTATTCTGTCGTCGCGGTTGGCAACGGAAGAGAATTGAAACAGCCGAGGTTGTAAATCCAGCCGAATCTTTCAATCATCCCTTTTCTCATCACGCAATAATTTATCCTGCTCAGCCGTGTTCCTTCAAATAGCTTCCAGCTTTTTCTGGAACGGCGGAGCGAGAGAAGCAGCGGGGCGGTATAATTATATATAGGGCCTTTTTGAGGATGATTGCGTGCCGAGATAAATCATCCGGCTACCCTCACTAAAAGTCAACTTGCCAGATGATAAGTAATTCTAATTACAGGGCTTGACCTTTAATTTTTTTTTCAATCATTGTGACTGCGGCCACTGCGGGGGAGAAGCGGCGCGAGAAGAGTGTAAAGAATAAAATAATATTCTTAGTGTGCGCGCGACGGTGCTAGAAATTATTTTTAAAAAAATGTGAAAATATATTGCGATGGAGAGAAAAATATGAATTTTTAATGATTCTCTGTTGATTATTTTAATAAGAATGGTTGAATTCCATTACTTGACAAAATAACTGAAATTTCTTATAAGAAAATTAAACAGAAATCGATTTTTTTCGGCTCTTTTGTGACATGAAAAGGAAACTTTAATATTGATGAATACTTAGAGATGTTATTTTAAATTTGTTGATTAATGCGTTTTTATTTAGAAATTAAATTAAATAAAGATTTTCCCATCTTCATCTATTGAATTGGAAAAAAATGACTTCGTAAAAACGTCTGGCTCATCCCATATATTTGTTCCAAAATGCAAATGAAATTCAAGAAATAAATTCCAACTGCGATATCAGCAAGACTCGTCCCAGATGCTGATGCGCGCTCGCGTTCAAATTTAAACAAGAGTCGAGTAGTTACTTTAATTGATGGCCTGATTGACGTGAGTGCTAATAAAATAAAGAGCCTCCTTGTGCAGCGCGCACGGGTTTTCCGAACTCGCAGAGAGCGGACTGAAAAAAATCGCTCAGCCGTGCGATAATTTTTCCTGCGCATCAACCGATCTTCGTGGGACCTTCTGCTCAGACTCATCTCAGCCTTCTGGGAATAAATTTCACTAATTCCCAGTTAATAAATAAATCGCTCAACCTCCATTCCGCGGGTGGGGCTGCAAAATAACACGTGTGAGACTTGTTTAGATTATCTCTCGCTTCGAAGACGTGCATTTTCCTGTTCCACTAAGAGGAAGGATCTTAAACAAATTAAGAAAGTCAGAGAGACGGGAAGCCGCACAATGAGATATAATTCACAAGAAAAAGAACCACATGTTGGCCAGATCGCGGTGAGCGATGGAGGCAGCTTTTTATATGCATATTTCGTTTTATGGGCGCAGTGTCGTTTTTTCTTTATTATCGTATTTGTTTGTTTCGTTGGATGTTGAATTTGAAAATTCAAAAACCCACACGAGTGGAAATTGGACCGTTGTTTCGTTTCAAATTGAATTTGCATTTAAATGGATTGCTGCAGTGTTTTGTCACATTTGTGGGCGCTGCCGAGAAATTAGACAATAATATGCCACGCAAATATTCGCATGTGTAGTCGAGCATGCCATAAAAATACGTTGGAAAGACACCTCCCTCTATTTTTGAAATACATTTTCTGTTCGTTTGGCACTGGGCGATGCACTTTAAAAGCAATAAAACGAGAGCTAAGTGGTTGAGTAATACAACAAAAATAATTTTAGATACAACAACGATCAAACCAAAACGCTCTTTGAAGTGCTCTGCTGCCTCCGAGACCCCAATAAGTTTTATCAATTGTGGCCAGAAATATAATAGTAAATTTTTATAGTCCTTGCAGCGTAGGATTGGTCGCGGTTTATCACAAATTCGCAGACATTTAATCAAATTTAAACGAAAAAATAATTTAAAATTGAGAAACATGAAATCACATCTGTTTTTCTTATTTACATGCAAGTAATAAGAAACGTGGTTTTGTATTAAATTAATTTGTCTGCACAGCTTCAAATTAAAATTAAATACAAAATATTATAAAATGATTTAAATTTTTACCTTTCTCCAGTATTAAATTTTAAATTCGCCCAGCAATTTCATGATTATCCACCGCCAGCAGTGCCAGCTCATTGCGTCGATTAGCCTTAATTTCAAACACAATAGAGAAGCCAAGACGCGAAAAGAAATTGCTGGCGCGCACTTAAATTTAGAAATCCTAATTAAACCGCATATTGTGCAATGGACCACGTGGCGGATCGTATCAAGTGCGAAGCTGCTGACCCAAAGAGAATTACGGTATATCATTTCGTTTATAGCAGAGGCCAAAATGCAGAAAGAAGAACATCTCGAGTCGCGCGAGTTTTACGTAACCGAACCGTTATATTTATCCTGCGAGGAAGATGAGACGAACGGCAGCTTGCCGATTAGTGTTTATAAGTGGAATTTCGGAGAGTGGAGCTCACACGTGAGACCAATTGATGAAATGAAAAAAAAAATAACAATAAAAGACGCTCCATGAATTTTGATCGCACATTTGGGATTAGAGGGGCTTTGAGTAGAGAAAGAGAGCAGCTGTTTTTGAAACAATCGCCAGACGGGCAAGATGCCATACCAGAGGCAAAAAAGATGCTGCTGTTTAAATCCGACAATAGCTTCGAGAAACGAGCCGTGAGAGATGTACCAAATAGAGAGCAAACCAGGACAAATAAGAGAGAGTTTTACACACCGTAAAACTTACGCACTCTGAGTGATATAATAATATTTAACTTCCCTTTCGTTACAACAGAGTTGTAAATTATATACTGTGCAGCCTGCCGCGGGCGGGTGGAAAAGTGCAGATGCGCGGTTTGAGAAAGTGGTTTCAGAAGATGCGTTGTAAAATAATTACTCTTCAATCAGCTCAATTTGAAGAATTAATTGCACTTTTACAAGTTAAACTTTCCAATCTTTTAAGCTTTTGTAAGTAAATTGTTTATTAATCTTTAAATTATTCTATAATGTTTGTTGTAAAAATAAATTTCAAATATAAACTTAAATTGAATGCTAACACTGGATTTCAAAAAACATTGAATTAATTTTCTAAGATTCAAACTTTTGACTTCAATTAAAAAAAATTATAGCCACTGATTGTTGAATAAACAAATTTTGTAAACATAAATCCTGTAAAATTCTGATATTTTGTTCTCTTCCCAATTATAAAAGTGTAATTTTGAAGTAATATGTGCATTGATGTGCATATTAATATGCCTGAATGGGCAGCAGTTGCCTTTATGATAATCAATATCCACGCAAATTGCTACCAAATCCTAAAAAAGTAGATTTTACCTATCATTTACTTTGAAACTTTTACAAAAAATTTTGAATCCATTACAAAACCAAAAAGTGCTCAAAATGGTTTTACAAATCCCAAAAACGTGTTTTGTATCACATATTTCTTTGTGATATTATAAAATATAAAAATTTTCTGTTTTAAGTCACAATTTGTAAAAAAAAAAAAATTGTTGCAATTTAATAAAACACAAAATTGCACAAAAGGAGCAAAATAAATTCGACTCACCTCGTAAGACCAAGTGCAAGGGATGCCCGCAAATTTCTGGACGCACCTGCCCAGCTCAACGTCTTCGTGGGTGGTGTACAAATTCCTCAGGCAGTAGGACACATGCGGCGCCACCTTGGCCAGGGTGGCCCTGCTCATTATCACTCCAGGGCCACCCATGCAGAAGTTCTCGTCGAACTCAAGACTCAAAAGGCCGAACTCCTCTTGCGAGCCGCGACCCGCCTGGCCTATGAACTGCGGCTTGCGGCTGTCGATCGACCTGAGGAAGGCCTCCAGTTTCTCAGGGCGGACGTAGACGTCGTCGTCGGCGCGCAGGAACCACTCAAAGTGGTCCCCGAAGTGCTCGTACATGTACTTGAGCATGAGGAATGACTTTTTTTGCGGGGGGTAGCTGTCGTCCACGCCCTGCAGAGCCACCAACGGAATACTCTGGTTCGTCTCGGAGGTGCCAGAAGAGAAGAAGGCCATTCGGCCGGGCAGTTCGCGGCCCCACGTTTCGTAGACGGCCTTGGCGCGCGTGTCCAAGTACTTCTGGGCTGTCATCACGCCAACGAACAACAGGCTTTGGCTCGAGTTGTGCAAGCCCTGCAAACAATTTTTAAAATTTCGTTTTTTTAATTAATATTTTTAGGAATTTAAAAAAGTTATGCAAAAAAAATTAGCACGCTGTTAGCACGTGTGAGTTCATATGAATGCATAGGGAACTTAATAAAAATATTTTAATTAGAATGATTTTTCTATAAAAATTAAAAAAAACTTTGGAAGATTCAACACCGCGAGACCGCGATCAGAAATTAAATGTTTAAAAACATTGCTATTTTTTATTATACTGAAGAAACTATATAAAATGGCATTGAAAAAAATTTTACTTCTGGTTTTTTCCTAGGAAATGTAAAATTTAATTATATAAAAAAAGATACCAAAAATTTTTAGCTTCTGCAATCGCTGCACATGAAAATAAAAATATTACAGTTAATCTGTGATGGAACCGGTAGAATAATTAAATAATGAACACATTTTTTTAATTTAAATTACAAAGGAAACCAAATTACAAGTTAAGATAAATATTTTAGTTGTATATAAATTAGCAGTAAATTAGTAAAATTCAGTAAATTGTATGTAAAATACAATCAATATGATAAATAAGAAGGTTTAATTAAAATATTGATTAAGGAGTAATTATTAAAACAATATTAAATCTAACCTTCAAGTCGGCCAAAATGAGTTCTTCCGGTTGCAGGGTAGAGTTGTCCATCCGAAGACCGTCCGGGCCGTTCGCCGGACACAAAAATTGATCCTGCGAGGTGGAGGCGATGAGGGCCGCGACGAGGTAGCCGGCGAAGGCACCGAGCAGCAAAGAGGCGGCCGCCCTGAGGCAGCGCCGCTCGCCGGACGAGGGCCGGCGCGCGGCCATCCGCAGGGCGCCCCTCGGCTTCAGGTCGGCCACGTGGTTATAGAGCATCTGCTCTCGACCTTCCATCTCGGGCCGACGACGCCCTGGCCACTGCGGCCCCAAGCGCCCTCATCGCGCTCCCTCCTCTTCGGCACCGGCCGGCCAGCCCCTCAACCAAAACTCCAAGAGGGTAAACAATATCTCCGGAGCGCCACAAGCCGCTGGCGCCGCCCACCTGTTGGAGCGAAAATTCAGTCAGCAGCGCAATGACAGTGGAAGTGGATTTGTACTGTGCGTGGGCAACCCGTTGGATGCTGACACTCCAAATCAATGCAGACAATCGAGTATTTTTTTTCTCCGCAATAACATCAAAGAGTTTATTTTCAGCCACTTTGTTTCTTGAATTTGGTGGACTTTTTTATTCAACCATTGTTGTTTATTCTTTGCAAATCAAGTCAAAAATGAAAGAGCAAACGGGATTGTTGATATACAATTGTTAACAACGTTGAGTTTCAATAATTATTTTGTATCAATATAAACCAGGCATTCTCCACCCATATGCATCTGCATCAGCCATCATCCGTAAATTCAATATTGAAAATTTTCACTTACAACTACAAGAGAGAAATTAACAGAAATAAAAAAGATGATTTTTTAAAAATCACATATAATTGTATTTTTATACTTTTGCTTAACGTTATAATGAACGAGCTAAATTTTATTCTTCAATTTTATGTCTCCATTATTTTTCATGACGAAATATTTTATGTTTCTTATTCAAAACTTAGCTTATGATAACAAAATAAAATATTTTAATTGTGAAACTTTCAATAGTAGCAAACATCTTTATAAAACTACTACAGTTTTAATTTTTGATAACCATATTTAAAAGAATAACAAAATATAGGTTTAATAATTGAATTTTAAAATCATTAATAAAATAAAAAAACTTAAAAATAATAATTTAAAGTGAAAGCATTATTTTTAAATATTTATAATTAAAATTGAATGCTAGCATAACGGTACAACTTTTAAAAATGATTATTTTTTAATAGATGCATTTGTTGTGGAGAATACTGGGCGATTAATAAAAAAAAATTTATTAAAACTTAGAATTACTGTTTTTTTTTTCTTGAAAATCCCCAAAGTTATAAGATGAAATCACTACCAAAACAAAAACTGACAAAAACTTTTAATTTTCTTTTTGTCAAATAGCTCTTGGACTTTTTCTATCGTCGTCGTAATAAATAACTTATTTCGTCCGAACTTATTGTAACAATTTTAGTGTTTTTCTTTTTCAAACCAAATTATGGTTTGTGTGCGCAATGCTGTCACATTAATAAATATTACATTTTATCTTGCCTGTATACTTTTCATACAAAGCCCTGCAGAGGGGGACTATCAGAATAAAAGAAACCGTGCGTGAATAAAGAAAGAAAAAAGCAGGATGCGTTCATCGCGTCTGCAGTCTTTTGTGCTTTGGCCGAAAAAGGCAGGTAGATAAATATTGGTTCGCCTCAGATGGGGCGGAAAGCAATAATTTTTTTCTCCATTGCGTGCGTGCGTCTAGTGAAGCGTGATTGCATCAATGGGACGTGGGATTATTTGGTTTGGTCGCGGTCTGCATTCGGGTCATTCTGCGCGATACCAACTCAAATTACGCGTGCAAAGAAAAAACATTCAAGACATTCGTTGCTGTTTAAAAACTTAAATCAACGCAGCAATAAATTTGTTTGGTTTCGAACTGGGCAATCTGCTGATTGAGCAGAGGTGTGTCATTTGGAATGGGGCAACGATTGGAAGACAATTTGGAATTTTGCTGATGCGTTTTTGGCGATGCTGAAAGTCGGATTTTGCACATCAGGACTGGCTCAGCATTTTTCGCAAATCGCGTGATCTGTGATTCAGACTGCGCGGCTGCCAGAAATTAAAACAAAATGTTGCATAAGCTAATTGATAAAATTTATAAATATAAATGACAATTAATAATTTTTTTGGTAAATATAACAAAATTTAAAAATTTAAACAATAAAAAAAATAGCACAAAATTACAAGTCAATTTAAACTTTTAATTAAGAAAAATCTTTAAATTCAATAAAAACATGTTAAAACCTGAAGACAGTCACAAATTGCTATGATTTAAAGATTAAATTAAAGTTTTTTAAATTATATTGAATAAAGTTAATTTTAGTTGATTGAACCCTTGCTTGACAATATAATAATTTGTCATAAATTTTACTTTGGAATTTTTCTGATTTCATTTTCTGTTGACTCGTCATTTCTGTTCAATTATAAGGAAAAGAATTGTGAAATTAAAAGTGTATCTAAAACCACTTTAATGAATTGAGCATTTTGTGCCCCTTCTGCAGTTTTTCAAGCTGAATTGAATTGAACTCTAATTCAGGTTCAACTCTCGATCAGGTAGTATGTACTGCGCTGCAGCTGAGGCAACACCTGATCTGTCCAATCGCGACCTTCAATCAGCGGCACCATAATCTCCCCTTATAAAACAAAACTCGAGACTCAGCACAAAAAACTGCCGAGAAGGAAAATAAAACTAAATTGACGCGCGAAACCAAGAGAACACGTGGATTCGTACGCAAATTGTTGTTTACCTGGCGAAATATTTGCTCTTCCAATTACGCGTGTCGCTGAGAAAATAAAAATTTATATCAAAGCGCCGCAGCTATTCCTTTGCTCTGTGCCAGCGGAATTCTTGACTCGCACTGCTTTTACCTGCGAGTGTGCACGACGAGCACGACCGGCTCCGAGCTTCGGGTTTGGCGCCACAGAGGTCACTGCGACTCAACAACCCTGTCCACTACGTAAAACAAATTCAAGATTTTTCCCCAATTTTGACAACTCTGTACACAGAAAACCTAAAATTTAATAAAGGAAAAGATTTTTCATCCATTTGGGAATGATATTTTTCAATTTTTTAGGTTCGTCATCGGAAGGGGTTTGAACTGACTAGCTGCGTTTGTCGCGTGATTTCCGCTTGGGGTCGCTGCTTTGGAAGCCGCCATTTCATCTCGTATACTGCAACGTGGGGTGTGATTTTGTTCGAATTTGTCGGCACGGACTCGAGTGCTCCATCTTACGGTGTCGCTTTCACAGATGAGGATGAAAGTGGAGTCGGATGGCGAAGAAAAAGGGTGAGTCGGCGGTGCGAATCGCCGGAAAAGGCGGCCGTCGGCGCCGCAGCGTGCTTGCCGCCGTTTTCGCCCCCCATGCCCGACCACAACAAGCCCCCTAAACCCTTCTCCGGCCGCCTCCGAGCCGCCTCCGTGCCTCTGAAAGCCCTAATCAGCCGCCCCAGCCGGCTCCGGAGCGAATCACACCGATTCGGCGGCCGGCCGGCGGCCGCCGGGCCTCTAAAGAGCGGCCACGCTACGAACCATGCTTCCGACTGCTCGGCCTCGTCGGCGCCGCATGTTCGGCCCCGGGGCACCAACTCTCGCCAGTTTGGGTCCGACTTTTGGGCCCCGTCGGCGGGAGCGTGGCCTCGGGCCGCCGTACCGGCGGCCGCCGAGCGGCCGCACAGTCACGATGGCGGCCGCTTGTTTGTATTTATGTGTGCGAACCACACACACGGGAGAGCCATCATCAATACAAAACGAGCGTCCACGTGGTTAATTGGTCGAAGGCGCTCCTGAGACGGAGTCGTGAGAGTGCGAGTGGCCCTTGTTGACCTTGCTTTTGACTCTTGCTTGTATTTTTCGTTTGTTTTCGATTCGCTCTCAGGCCGATGGGCAGTCTCGGTGGCGACAACATCTCTCGGAGAAACAACCCCGCACTCTCATTGCACCATGAGTTAGTACCTCACGATCATGACTTTGCCATTCATATTATATTATACCTTCCACTTAAATTTTTTCCAACTCTACTACTAATCTCAATCTCGGTCTATCCATTTTTTTTTAATTTATTATTCATTCTGAAGCTTTTTTCTTTGTTTTGTCGCCTTGTTTTTATCATTTCTGTTCTAATTTAAATAAATTCAATAAATAGGGCGCTCATCTCTGAGCAGGGCTTATGTTTTTATTTCAATTCCAGCACATTTATTTTTATTATTATATTAACTTTTGGCTGGAAATGGCAGTACAATATTAATTTTAGCAAAACTGCGCAGATTAGTTATTGTTGCTTTTGTTGTTCGCATGGTCAGTGTCTCGTGTGAATTCAAAAATTTCAATGTGCAATCAAAAAAATTAAATATGTTCCAAATAATTTAATTATTTTCTTTAACAAAATTTAATGCTGCTTTACCAGTGTAAAAACATAATCAGTTTGGATTCCAATCGTACATAAAATTTGGGGACAAATTGATTTTTTTTTGCAGACATTCATTATTAGCTTCCATGGTTTTATTTTTTATTTTGAATAATTTATTTTATTTTGAGCACTAGTTTGTGACTCATGCTTTTAATTTTAAAATGTTCTCGCCACTCACTGACTCATGGCTAACATTTTCACGAATTTTTTAAAAGTCCAAGCCGCTGCTCACTCTCTATCTCTCCGTTAAAATAAAATATTCAATTTCAATCGATTATATATTCTCTGAATTTAATGTCACTGGCAAGCATGCATGATTTTCCCACATAGCAAAACGCGCAACGCCATTCTCACGCTTTCCGTTTTTCTGTCGACAGGAAGCTCTTTGTGGGCGGCCTCAGTTGGGAGACCACACAAGGTAATAAATCTGAAAATTTGCAAATTAGCCCTTCCTGGAAAATTGCAGCTGTGAACCAACTCCTGTGTTTTGCAGAATCTCTTCATCGGTATTTCAGTCGCTTCGGAGAAGTTGTCGACTGTGTTGTTATGAAAAATAGCGAGTCTGGCCGCTCCAGAGGATTTGGATTTGTAACATTTTCTGACCCCGGAAACGTTGGACTCGTCCTCGACAATGGACCCCACATGTTGGACGGACGAACTGTAAGAACCTAGCCTAAAATTTAATGGACTTCAGTTGAAATATTCAACTCAATCCATTTGTTTAAAAGTTTCATGGAAATTCATAATAAAGTTTCTTGCTTAAATCAAATTATATGAAGATCTTACTGAAAGTGTAAATTTTCTCATTTAATTTAATTTGAAATTTGTTAAGCCTGTAAACATATATTATTAAATCAAGTTATTTATGGTTTAAATTTACTCCCAATGCTAACTTTGAGTTATTAACCTTTAGATCGACCCTAAACCTTGCAACCCGAGGAGCATGCAGAAGCCGAAGAGAAACATCAACTGGCCTAAAGTGTTCCTCGGCGGCCTTCCGTCAAATGTAACCGAAACAGACCTACGAAATCACTTTGCAACCTTCGGAAAAGTGATGGAGGTGGTCATCATGTACGACCAGGAGAAGAAGAAGTCGAGAGGTATTTTAGCCACTGTCCCTCACGCACCCACGCCCTCAATCTCGATCTATATATATTATTTTTACTGTGCATGTCACTTGCTGTTTCTTAGTGTTTAAAATATATTACTATACATATATTTATTATAATCACACGCAAGAGACGCCAAGATTGAGTTCGTGTCCGGAATACATGTGGAGAGACGGCTCAACCTTTGGCCTCCTTAATTTTAAGACTTCTCTCATTATTACTATTATTACCATTATTGACGTTTCCTAGAAGATAAGTCTTAGAGTTATGCAAAAAAATACAAAAAAAGAATAGAAAGATATAATGGGGCAGCAGTGCCATGTAATGCAAAAATAAAAAAACGTCTCCTCCCTCCAAAAGACCCCTCTCAAACTGGAGACTAAAAGAAATATTTCTTCGCTGACCAATAGGATTTGGATTTTTGTCTTTTGAGACCGATGAAGCTGTGGATCGTTGTGTGGCTGAACATTTCATCAACCTAAATGGCAAACAGGTATAATTTTAAGAGCTGCCCTTCCTTCACCACCCCTCTCGACCCCCCAGCAGTAGAAAGAAAACTCGGAGCAGACAATTCACAGCATTTGACATTTGTGTCTTGAAGTGGCTTAGACGTTGACCTCCCTGTGTTTGGTGTCCAAATGAGGCTCATTCCATCTGGCCAGGCGAAATAGTACCAGATTCATCACGCAATGTCACCTTTCGTGGTGTAATTATCACTTTGGACCAAATGCGTGGTGGTTGATGTCCTGTAGCCCTGAATTCGGACATAGATAGGAAATGCGCAACTGGTTAGCTTTAACGAAATGCCTCTTGATTTTTTAAGTACGTTTTCTATATCAACTACTTTTTGATGTAACTTTCTGTCCATACATACAAATTATGAAAAATTCTTTGTTGCTTGTATGTTGATTGTTATTATCTCATTTTTTTTTATTCATATCATGTTATTTATACACATTTTTTTGACTGTCTTATCCCATTTAATATTTTTTTTCTATGATTGCAACTCTCCATTTATCCATTTATTTTTCATCTTACTGTTTCCGGCGCATTTCTGTAGTGAAACCAAATAACTATTCACGAATTTTGCTGTTTACTAGTTTGTAAGGCTAATCGTTAGAGTTAAGCCTACCTAATAAGAGATTAATTAATCGAAAGTAGCTGATAAGACGCGCCCCAAAATACAAACTCTCCCTGCTGGGTCTACTGACTCTCTTTTGCTAACCACCCTGCCCTCTTCTTCAGGTTGAGATAAAAAAAGCGGAGCCCAGAGACATGAAGATGGGTGACGGACCCCAAGGCCAGTGGGGACCCCCGCAGGGCGGACCTCCAATGGGCATGGGAGGTGTAAGTATTTTCTTTGAAAGACTCTCTTACCCCATATAAACACGCATTTTAAGCTGTAAATGGCTTGGAGTGTGCCAGTAATGGGGGAAAATAACGCTCTCTCGACATAAACCCTTTTCTTTTTGGAAAGAACAGGTGCTTGAGTCTGCTACAATTGTTTTCTGTGACAATATAACATTTTAACGCCTTAATTTATTTATCTAAATAATCAAAGAAGGATGTTCAGCCTAAATTAAAAAATCTTATAAATCATTAAACAGCATTAAATAAACAACTGAACCATTAGTAAAGGTTACGAAACAAATTTTGACCAAATTTTCTAATTACGTAAAAAGCAAGTTGTTAACCATAATCATTCATATTACAGGGCATGGGACACATGGGCGCACACAATGGCCAAATGACAGGCCCAATGGGTGGCCACATGGGACACATGGGTCCTCACGGCAGCATGATGCAGAGCTACCAGGGCTGGGGCACGCCACCGCAGCAGCAGAGCTACCCAGGTAATTTGCTTGCATCCAACCTACATCTTCTTGGCAAACTGTCCTCCTAACACTCCCCCTAAAACTAAACTACTTTCGTTCCTTCTTTTGTTGGAACTATAACAATTACTAAACAAAACAAACTGAAACAACTGGGCTTGCGGCATGAGCTGACTTATAAATAAAAAAGCAGCGGCAAAGAATGGCATGTGACTCTTGTCTGGTGTGTGTTTCAGGCCATTGGGGGCCCCCTCCCTCGAGCCAGCCGCCAGTTAATGGTAGGTTGACTTGGCCACTCGCTTCTAACTTGAGGCAGACTCGCTCTTAACTTTTCTAATCGGCAGTTTATCTTTCCAAAGGTTATGGCAATCCTGGCGGACCTGGCAGTTATCAGGGCTGGGGAGCACCTCCGGGCCACCAGGGACAGCAGCTGCCACCGCAGTGGGGCGCAAACTTTGGCGGACCACCCACTCAACAAGGCTATGGCGGATATGGTGAGTTACTATTAAAATAAGATTAAAATTCTTGAGCATTCATTAACTGATACTAAAAAGAAATAAGTTTAAAAAAACTAAATTTAAAAAGTAGAGTAAATGGGTGAATTAATTTTAATTTAAGAATAATGATGTCCTTTAACATATTAAACTGTGCATTAACAGAAAACTGCGCCCAATTTTTATTGCTTAGAATCCCCACTTTTTCCGCCATACATCTGTTGCATATTCAAGCATGCAGATGTGCCATTGTTGGGGTAAATTAAAAGCTCTCGATAGGAAACCTTCTCTTTTTGTGAAGATAAGGTGCCCAAACGTCTGCAATATTTCTCAACTAAAACCAATCTCTCTTTCTTTCTATTTTTGAAGATCTCGAGGGAATTGCAACTCACGCCAGCCCATCAATCGTGATTTCAGGTGACATGTATCAGAGACAGTCGGGACCCGGCAACCCTAATGCTCAGCACGGCCAGGCGTCTGGAGGCAGCACCTCTGGCCAAAAAGGAAGCAATGACTACAATTCCTATCCCAGCACGTACAACATGGGCAACTATGCCCAAGTAAGTGTTCTAGAATAAAAAGTAATTTTAAAAACGAACCAAAACCTAAAAATTGTAAAATCCTGTACAAAATTTAAAAAAAAAAATCCGAAAACAGTTTAAATTTTTTCAAAATTAAATTTTGACGCTTCTCTTTAAAAGTAAATTAATTTTTTTTATCCTTTTTTTGTTTCCAGGAAGCGTCAAATTACGGTCCTGCGCGCAGTTACAGCCAGGATGCGGCAAGTCAGGGCGGTGGCGGCTACGGCCACCCTCCACCCCCAGGTGGGAATAATTTCGAGTTTTCGGATTGGTCGTCGTGACAGGGGCGAGGCTCTTGGGCGCGGGTTCAGCAGCAGCATAGCCCTTCTGCCCCCTCGTACTGGATGCAAAGTTTTTAGTGTATGACAGAATAAAATAAGTAAAAAAGAGTTTAAGGATGAAAGAAAGAATTCAAAAAAGAGATCATGCTACTAAACTAATAATTAAATTAAATTCTAATGATTACAAGTAATGAGAAATTATCATCGTAAGAAAAATGAAGGCCTGGCTTTTTGACTGATGTAAATAGATAAAATGGTCGTTTTATTAATTCAGTTACTCAGACTTGTCCCGTACATGTGGAGAGAAAAGAAAGAAAAACGAGAGCACCATTCAACCACCTGCGCTTTTTAATTAATTCTTTTCTTTTGTTTACTTATTTGTTTTTGTGTTTACGATCAAGATTCTGTTCTGCATTGTAAAATACTATCTTAAGCGTTAAGATGAAACTAAAGTCATTCATTATAAGGGGCGAGATGGCAATGGTTATCGGAAAAAAAGAACACACAAATCATGGGAAAAAGTGAACTGTTATTAAACTCGTTTGTTAATCAAGAATCACACACATATTGTGAAAAAGATCATCTCTAATTAAGGGTTATTTTCTCTGCTGTTGATATATTTTTGTGTAAACGCTTTGACAGCTTATTGTTTTTCTTCATTTTAATTTCTTACGGTAATTGATAACAATCATGTTTATAAAATGAATACGAATTTGGAATTTCAAGTAAGTGACACGCTTGCGTGTAAGAAGCGATGATGATTTTTGCTGTGTAGAAAGCAGATTTTTTGTTGTTTGTTTGTCCCGAAGCGCGCGCTCGCATGGACTCTTTCGTGAATTTGTTCCGCAGTGGTCACCCCACACGCAGACACAAACATACACACACACTCCTTGACTCAAGCAACTCTAGGCGTAGGGAAAAAAGTGAAATGATGCGAATAAGAATAAAAAAATAAAAAAATGAATACAATGGACCCACACGCTGTCAGCGTTGTAATTTTTGGATTAATGCTAGCTTTCATTGCGCACATTGTTTTATGATTTCATTCTTTGTATGACCTCAGATTTTATTCTGTAGAAATGCGTAGTGAGTATTAAACGATAAGAAGCTGAAATAAAAAAAATGAAACGTGCTTTATTGATTCCTTTACACCTACGTCGAGGCCCTGCATGCTTTTTTTAAAAGTATGTACTCTTAAATTAATTTACTGTAGTGCAAGTTGTAATTAGAGTTAATGGCAAGGCTATTTTTGCTTAATGCTTGCCAAGCCTTAAGGACAAGTTTCAGTAACAAATTTAAAATAATCACTATCAAATTTCAAAAGGCATCCACGTAGAGATTTATGCATAAAAATTCAAATTCCTTTGTCGGTTACAAATGATATACCTTTTTTCATAAAAGTATATAATTAGATAGTAAAAAGTAGTTGACAAATTGGCTAATGCAGGTGCAGGGATGGTTGACATCGCTGACGACTTCTCCACATCTTCATCCAGTGGATTCCAACAGCAGCTGAATCACCAAATAAGTATAAACCAAGGCCAGTTTCATCCGTACCGCAGAAACTAGAGTACTAAACAATACAGAAACAAAAATAGTCCGCCAGTTCAAATAAATTATTGTAAAATTATGGAATAATTTTTTTAATTAAACAACGCTTGAGGCTGGTAATCATGTTGTACTATATTGAAAAATTAAAGAAAGAAACTATTTGAGGAATATTACAAAATAAGTACTTATAGACTTTATCTCCTGTTGCAGGTATTTTTGAGATTGTTAGTTTCTAAAATACTTATTACTTGTGCCTATGCAAAATAAATTTATATTCCGTCATTATAGCTTTCATTGAACAAAATATACTCAACTAGCTGTGGGACTCAAAATAATTTAAGTAATTAATTTATTTCATCTAATAATAAAATAAAGTATGTAAATGAAGCGATATTGTAATAAAATTTTACAACTCAGTTTTAAAATTTTTATTTCCATCTGAAAACATAGTTAAATCTATATATACAAATAATTATCATTCTCATAAATATCTCCACAATATCTTTTTGGCCAGAAAAATCATTGAATGCAAAAGAAGAAATGAAAAATTGAACTCATAGTTTCAAAGAACATTCCGAGGCTTAATTACACCTGCCACCTGCTTACGCCCTATTTTATCAATTTTATCTTTTTGATTCTTACTTATTCCAATCTCTTTCGTATATAAATTATACAATATTAAATTTAATATTATATTATAAATTATACAATAATTTATATTTTAGTTTTTTTCCCAGCAGCAGTTTGTTTGTCCATTTTTCATTACATCTATAAAAGTTAAAAGACATATTTTGACACAATATATTTTCTTCTCACAAATTTACGTCTAACTGCCATTGTGGTGTGTGTGTGCTTTAAATATTGTTAACGAATATAACTTTTAATTTCCACAGCTTTTTCATTTTTAACTTATCCGATCAGAGAGAAGAGAGATGCTCAAAGAGGGAAATACTACATGAAAGACACGATGAGATGTGACGAGAAGCAGGGGAATTTTCCTCGAACAAATGTCGGTTAATTAACTCTGCGATGCCTAAATTACACAATAATTTTTGCCCATTCTACACCTATCTATTTTCCAGAATATAATATCTCGTCTAGACAATTTTTCCATTAAAATCGGGAGATATTTTCTTTGATTTACGATATGCGCCTTTTCAGTTGCAGCGAGAGTACCGCGAGTAGAGATAAGAAAGAATAAAATATTATTTATATTATCTCGTTACGTTTCAGTTTGTTAATTTTTATTTCTGTTTGCTAAAAGAGTCTAGACGCGGCGGCAACAACTTGAAAAAACAAATGCCTTGCGACCAAAGTTAGATCGCTGAGAGCATTAATTTCCCCATGCAAGGCGCGCATCTCTCCAGCTAGAGTGGTTACAATTGAACTCTTGTAGGTTTTTCTTGTCATAAAATGCACGTGTATGCGTCACAATTAATTATTCAGGGTTGAGAGGGAGCAGCGAAGAAATTGTTATTGAAAATTTATTCAATTTTGCACATAATAATTTTTTTTATACAATGAATTCCAGTTATTGTTTTGAAAGTCGTCTCAACCCTAAAGTCAATAGCATAAACATGAAGCTGTATTGATTCTAAATTTTAATTTAAGCCACAAATGAAAATATCTCTCCTATCAGCGTTTTTACTTGTTTTATATACCACTACTTGTGAGCAAGTTTGGCAAATATACACATTTTTTGTGACCACAACATTAAGGCACTGACGCCTTACACGCTGAATAATTACATATATAGGTTGATTCTTTTCCTTTTGTCAATTTGTGTTAATCTTGTCTAATTGACGTGACGAATATGTTCTAAAAAAATTTGTTGAAGTAGTAGTGCCTAAATAGAAATTTGCCTGCTCGCTACGTCTTAAGAGATCTTAATTTTAATTTATGATCTCCAGTCACTCCTAAAGTTCTCTCTTTAGTATTAAAATTCTGGTGTCTGAGTTTTTGGTTTCATATATTTATACGATTTTGCTGCTCTCTGTCTCGTCAGTTTGGTTGCTGCTGAAAATTGGTCTGAGTAATCAATATTATGAATATTATATATTATATTTATTTTCTTGTTCCTTGGTGATTGCTTGTCAAGTAATACAAATTATACGGAAAATGAATTCGTTTTTAGGAAATGGAGCAAGATTTGCATTTGTTGTTCTCCTCTTTGGCCTTTTTCTTCATGCGCTGCGCATTTTCTGCGTCGACTTTTTTCCTTATTGATTCTGAAAATAGCAAGATAAGAGGAAAAATGTTTCAGAAAAACTTGTCGGTTTTAAAAGTTACAAATTTGAAGAGATCAGAATAGCACCCATTAAGGTGCCCGAAAGAAAAGTTACGAAAAGTTTTATGCTTGTTGTATTTTTTTTTTAACATTCATTTATAAAAACACAATTTGAGCGACTGTAACAGGAATAATTTGTGCAATTCCAACTAGACAGTTTTAAAAACATATTTAATATTAAATGACGTCAAACAATAATATATATTTAATTCATTAAAAAATGGAGCATTTGATGCGACTGATTAAAAAAATGAAAACATTATTACGCAAACATATCTGTTCAATTTCTTACTTTAGAACTCAGAACACAAATTCCTTTCTCTATTATTAAAAAAAAAAGTATTTTGGTCTTTTCGGAACTGATTTTAGCGATTGTAGCTACATTTTGAAATTAAGCGCACATTTTTAAACTCAGCAGTTGCCAAATTCTAGGGCTGAGTTTTTCATTACATGACTTAATTTATTCCTCACCTGCGACGCTCTTCTTGTCTATGGCGACCAGCGCCTCGTAAAGTTCCTTCAGTGGGTTGACCTCCGGGGCGAGTCCGTGCGCCCAAATAAGCATCATCCTGAAAGCGTGATCCTTGTGGCCAGCTGGACCAACGCACTGGTGCTCAATCGCCGCAATTTGCTCGTCAGTGAAACTCCAGTGGTGCGCCAGACGCTTCCACTCGCCCGCTTTCAAATGCCGATTGGCCACCTGGAACGTTCAAACATTTTTTCACTTGCTCCATCGTTTCCATCCAAAATTTTTGTAGAAATAAACGCTATGAATTAAGGAAATTGTAATGACCCTTGTCAAAAACGAGACCGTTGGAGGTCGTACTCGAACGACCTCATATTTTTACATGGTAAATGTTTAGGGGCAACCGTTACCCCTCGGTCTCGAACGACCTCAAACGGTCTCGGGCGACCTCGGCCGGTCTCGGGCGACCTCGGCCGGTCTCGGGCGACCTCGAACGGTCTCGGGTGACCTTTCGTGTTAAAGGCCGCGATCGACCTCGGGCGGCCGCGATCGACCTCGGGCGGCCGCGATCGACCTCGGGCGGCCGCGATCGACCACGGGCGGCCGCGATCGACCTCGGGCGGCCGCGATCGACCTCGGGCGGCCGCGATCGACCACGGGCGGCCGCGATCGACCTCGGGCGGCCGCGATCGACCTCGGGCGGCCGCGATCGACCTCGGGCGGCCGCGATCGACCACGGGCGGCCGCGATCGACCTCGGGCGGCCGCGATCGACCACGGGCGGCCGCGATCGACCACGGGCGGCCGCGATCGACCTCGGGCGGCCGCGATCGACCTCGGGCGGCCGCGATCGACCACGGGCGGCCGCGATCGACCTCGGGCGGCCGCGATCGACCTCGGGCGGCCGCGATCGACCACGGGCGGCCGCGATCGACCACGGGCGGCCGCGATCGACCTCGGGCGGCCGCGATCGACCTCGGGCGGCCGCGATCGACCACGGGCGGCCGCGATCGACCACGGGCGGCCGCGATCGACCTCGGGCGGCCGCGATCGACCTCGGGCGGCCGCGAACGACCTCGGGCGGCCGCGAACGACCACGGGCGGCCGCGATCGACCACGGGCGGCCGCGATCGACCACGGGCGGCCGCGATCGACCTCGGGCGGCCGCGATCGACCTCGGGCGGCCGCGATCGACCACGGGCGGCCGCGATCGACCTCGGGCGGCCGCGATCGACCTCGGGCGGCCGCGAACGACCTCGGGCGGCCGCGATCGACCTCGGGCGGCCGCGATCGACCTCGGGCGGCCGCGATCGACCTCGAGCGGTCTCGAGACCGTTAGACCCAGAGGAGCAGTTGCCCTTAATGGTTTTCCCCATAGATTATCTAGCAATAAACTGTCTTATCCTAATCTGCTTGATGAACATGCTTCCTAACTCAATGAAGGCCGCATACCTTCCAAAGCAGTTGCCTGAGCTTCTCGTTTCCGCTCTTGCTGTCTTCCCTGCCCAATCGCCACTTCCGACGCGAAGCAGTATTGAACGAGTTGAGCTCGTTTTCGTCGACATTGGGCTGCTGCTCGTCTCTCTGTGAACAATGGCAAGAGGAGTGTTATGCAACAAGTTAGACACTCATGTCAAGCTGGTTGCCTATACCGTACAATTCTAGGCGCGCTTTCATAAAAATTTCATTAAATTAGAACGTTAAAATTAAAAAAAGAAACAAAAAATTAAGTATTGGTTCCAGATAATTTTTCCGAGGGTAAAATAAATTGAAGAATTTTTGATCTTCATGTTCCTTTTTTTGTTAGAAGTATTGAATAAGCTGCAACTTCAAAGTATGTAACATAAAATTTATTTGAATTGAAAATTAAGCTTTAAGGTGGATTTTATTAATAAAAAATGCAGCTTGGCTTAATACTGTGAGTCATAAAATTTGCATCTGGCCAGTGCAAATTGCCTGAGGAGAAAAGATTAAAGGGTGTGAAATATTTCCGCAGCCCTCAGTGAAAATTAGGTCAATGCAGCGAAAGATAAAATTCATGGTGAGAAATCAATTAAATTAGAGTGTTACTGACATGATTGGCAGAAGTGATGGTGAGGATTGGTTGTGGAGGTTGTGCTTTAGGGGGAGAGCTGTTGTGCGTCAGCTGGCCAGCAGAAGAAGAAGTAGAAGAAACAAGGTCAGGGCGAGATGTGGTACGTACGGTCGGATAATCTAGCCTGGCAGTCTTGATGATCATGTCTACAATTGTTGTGAAACTACCCCGCGCTGCAATGTACAGCGGAGTCCGCCCTCCCTGCGAAACACAAACATACACGCTCTCGTTGGTAGATTGCCAATAAAAATCTAATCTATGCGGATATAACAAAACTATTTCCATCGCTTCTTAGAAAAATAACTCTATACGTTTAAAAAACTAATTAAAAACAGATTAAAGATTGAAATCTTTTCAATTTTTTTTAGCAATAAACACAAAATACAACTCCCAATGGACCCTAAATGAGCAATTTTTTTGAGTCGGTTTATTTATTTATTTTGTAATAAAATTCAGAAATAACCCCTGCTTAAAGGGGGTAGCTTCACATTAAACATCGAGATTTGCTGCAAGATGATGATTATACACTTATTATTTTAGAACATGCTGGGGATGTTTTTAGTTCATTCGATGGATAGCATTTGGTTCAATAAATTAATTAATATAAAAATCTTGAGGAGGAAATAGATATCAAAAGTAATGTTAATTAATTTATAGATGCAGAATATTATCAAAAGTGTCTTACCTCCTCTTTCTGTTCAATGTTCGCTCCGCTGTTGATCAGCAACTTGCACAAATCTTGGAAGCCTTTTTCGGCAGCAATGTGGATGGCAGATTGACGTACCTGAAATTAAATAATTTTATATTTGAACCAATGCATTTTATAATTAAGCATTATTTATTTGAGTTTATAAACCCGGTGTAAATTTAACTGGCTTAATTAAAAAAAAATAGAGAGACATTATTCAACTAGAATTAAATTTTAAGAAATTTCTTTAATTATATATTTAAGGTTCATTTTCATTTAAAACAAATTTTAGTCTGTGTCATCGTATTTGATTAATTATTACAATACTATGAGCATTTTTTTAATCAAGCTGAGAAGTCGCTAGTCAGTTAATCCCTTTTCTATATTAAATATACATAATTTTGCGTTCATAGCTTTTAAAACTTTTACCGACGCATATATCCTGTTAAAAATGCAAAAACTTTTGAGCTTGAATAAATCCCGAGGATATTTTCGTCGCAGGCCTTCAATTCTTATCTTGTCAAGAATTTATATCCCACCCGGGTGCGAATGCGAAGCGGCCTGGCGATAAAACTTTTTAACTGCAACGATCCGCCGTAAAAATTCAACCAGCCTCGTCGGCGCAAAATGAGATTCTTATCGCGGCGCGGGTGTATAATATAATATGGGTTGTGCTGCTTTGCCAGCATTGTTTGATTTTCACTCTGATCCGCCGTGTGCCAAAGGATGCACATCAATCATGCTTTAAAAGGACTACTCACGTTGTTCAGGGCGTTGACGTCGGCGCCCTTGTTCATCAAAAGCTCGGTCGTCTCCAGCTCGTTGGCCAGGCATGAGACGTGCAGAGCGGTGTTGCCCTCCTGTACCCGAAAGCAAACACATGTGGGTTTAAAGGAGTGGCCAATCGCATTAAGTTTAGCAAATAACAAGTTATTTAATACATATATCTTTGTATGAATAAATAACGGAAGTTGTAAAAAAGATAAAAGCGTGTTTCAGAAAACATTTTACCTTGCAACGGTAGTCAATTGAGGCTCCGTGCTGCAGTAAATAGTCGATGATGCAGCGACAACCTTTGCTGCTCGCCAAGTGCAGTGCTGTGTAGCCTTTCTGCAACACATAAAATAAAACAATGGAATGCTTTTAGTGAAAGTTCCATTTCTACTCTCTGTTCTTTCTAATGTGCAAAATATGAAATAAAAAAATGGAAGAGAAAAACTCAGGTTTGCCCTTTTTGACGACATATTCATTTAATTGCAATCCATTATGAAAAAAATCCTCATCAGTCATATTGGTAGTGGCTAGGGAATTATATAAATTTGGAAAAGTACCTTATTTTCGGTGTCAGGAGGGCATCCTGCCTCCAGAAGGGTTTGGACGGCGAGAGTCTGTTGGTTGTCGGCGGCAACGTGAAGGGCTGTGTTTCCATCTTCGTCCTGCTCGTCTCTCTCCAGGTTTTCCTGCAGGAGCAGCAGCTCCAACACCTCCACGTGCCCCTTCTCGCTCGCGGCATGCAGTGGTGTTTTTCCAGTCTGAACAGAGAAAACAACCATAGTTTAGTAAGAAAATTTGTATATGAATAGACTGGGTAAACATTGCAAATTATTGTTATTGATTTTAGATGGACATTTGTGCAGTGGTTGGAGAACAAGGAAAGTGCAAACAGAGGAATCTGAGTAAGAAAATTGTATTTTATTCTGCCATAGTTATGAGAATTTATCTCTTTATTCGCTTTATTCTAGTTGGTTTTAAGTATGTTTATGTAAATTATTATGAAAGTTTATTATTTTATTTCTCTCTATGCAACGATTTTTATTTGTTTCAGTAGATTTTTAACTATGACCACAAAAACAAAATATTTCTCATTGTCTCTCTGTTCTCAAAATTTAATAAAGATAAGCTAAAAGTAGATTGGTTGGCAAAAACAATTGGTAAAATAAAAATCAGCCATCATAATATTGATAACTAGATGATTTTTCAATTGTTTTAATTTTTTTCAAAGTTTGTGTTGGGTCTGTTTTTGAAATATATTATATAATAATGAATAACGTTATTAATTTGATCGTTTTATACGGCGTATTAGAAGCACTTAAAAAATTAATTTTTTTTTGCCTTGTTATTAAAGCTTATTTTATATATAAAAAAAATAATATAATAAATTCAACCAAATTTTACTGGAAATTTTGGTATAATTTGTTCCTTAATTGTGATCAATTGTGATGATATAATTGGCATCATAATTCAGTACTTTTTATTTTCTTTTGCGTTGTTTTTGCATCAAAAAGAATTTCCAGTCCCTTTTTATGATAACTAACCCATTTTCAGTCCAGATAAGTGTAGATAAATGGGGTTTCTTTCATAAAAATAAAAATAACGATTGGGACCAAAGCGCTATGTAATTTTTTGTCGCATGAAATGAAATGTCCTTGAAATGAAACATTGCGGAAATATTTACCTTATTTTTGAGGTTGTATCTGGCACCGGCTTCTATTAATCTCTTGACTACGTCGTGGTGGCCGTTGTGGGCAGCGTGGAACAAGGCCGTCTGCTGCTCCAAGTCCTCCACGTCTATCTCTATGTCCTCTACAGTCTCGAGTAAAAAATTCACTACGTCCAGACGGTTATTGTGCACAGCGCACATCAACAGGGTGTACTGCTTCTGCAACACGCCAGACAAAACGGGCACATTTTTCATCAGCACGTGTGTGTGCGCCAAATTTGGTACGTTGAGTACCGCCATTTATCTTGCGACGAATGGCGCGCGTCATGCGAGAAAGACATTTTATCATGGCAAGGAAGAAAAAATATAAATTGCCGTAGAGAAAGGAAATTTGAATTTAAGGGCTTGTCGCCTGCACTCTATTTTCCTCAAAGACAAGACACTTGTATGTATCAAATAAAAAAGTTTTCTTCCTTAAAACTTCTATAGATAGTTTCAGCAACATACGCTTTTCCCAGGTATATAAATATATATTTGGTTCTTCTATGTATCATTTTTTTACCATTTCTTGTTCTATGTTGAAGACAAAAGCAGCAATGCCAGAGGGAAATTTGTATGTTCATATTTTAGACAAATAATATGTTATTGATACATAGTGAATTTAGTAAAAACCTATTTTAATCATAAAAGCAGCGTTTTTCTTGGAAAAAAAATAATAATAAAAATACTGGATCGGTCCTCCTCCATGATAACAAAAACCGGTCTAAGTGAATAATTCTGACTGTTAAAAAATGTTTTTCATTACAATAATTAGTCTCAACATAGATTGATTTTATAAATATGAAGATGATATATGGTCAAATAAGCGAACATCGTTACTTAATTTATGTTATTACAATTATTTATCTTGCTGACAAAAAAATTCCGCTTTATTGTGTTTTCTTAGCCTGACTGAGAATGCAACAATCGGCAGAACTCGAGTGAGCAGCTCAGCAAGCCACGCAGAAAGAGCAGCGAAAAGGATCTTCTATAAAAGAAACGCACGCTGGCGCAATTACAATGCTGGGAAACAAAAAGCAACCGACGGAGTGAGAGGTGCCCTTTCAACCCTGCCCTGCTGGCCATGTTGTGTGCGTGTGGTGGAAACAACAAAAGCACACGGGGCCTATGCAATGAATGAGAGACGCACAAAAGCCAGAAGCTGCGCGGCTGGCTGCCTGTCTAAATGAGATAGATATCCATCTCGAAGATTAAAGTTGGTCCATTGATGTCACCAACTGCAGACTCGCCTCTCCTGTCTATGTACATGTCTAAGTGTGTGGGCGCATCCCTCTGTAAACCATTGAGATTCACACAAAACGGTATAAATGGGAATAATTTTAAAATGTAAAGAAAGAGTAGCCGACTGGAGAATAATCTATTCCAAATGAACTTTTAGTTCTGCCAAGAGATGGACTTATTGCGGGACTGCATTGGCTCAACTTTTGCTTGTTAGTAGATGGGAATTTTTACTTCAATTTGCTTCATTTTGTATCATTTTGTTGCATAATTTTTATTTTAGTAATTTCATTATTTATTAAAGGAAAATTATCCTAAACAAGACAAAACTTAATATTGAAGACATGGTATTTCAAACTGTTCTTTTTAAATTTATGAACAAATTATACATTTATTGGTATTCAATTTTATATACAAATAACATTTATTGAAATAAAAATTACTTAAAACTCGTTTGAATGATTTTAATTGGTAAATTATAATTAAAATTATAAAATATTTATATAATTACAAAATTAAATTAAATTTTTGCAATTCTATTCAAAAATTTTCCTATTTTTGATTGCATTTAAAACTACATACAACTTATTAAAACTTTTTTCTGACTCCTTTCTCCAGGTAAAGTTCTATGTGTCAGAGAGTAAATTGAATTGACGTTTCAGACTTTTTGGTGACCCTTTGTTGGCTCTTGGCGCGCCAAAAGAGTCTACACGGAAAAGCCCTTCCGAACTCACTCTCACACTCAACTTCTTTGCCACCTTTACGACAGCAGCTGCAGGTTTTGAGCGACAAACGTAAAAAAGCTGCGGAAAGAAGGAGCGGACGCGAATTACTTTCGGAGTAAGCAAGCCGGGAAAAGCACTTCCAGCCAGCGATTATCTCCCTCTTCCATCTTTTTGCAGCTTTAAAGCGGACCTGTCACCAAAAATAAGCCACTGCTGGCAAGTGAAGAGCATGGGCTACATTCTTATTTTTGCTAAAAAAAATATTTTAAATTATAAATTTACTTTGATAAAATCAACAAAATTAGTTTATTTTAACTTATTTATTATAAGTGGTCTTGAATAATTATTGCACTTTGGACAAGAATTTCTATTCTCATCTCACTTTGAACTTTTTATTATATTTTTATGAAATTGAATTAATTTTAACGTAAAATTTTTCAGGTATAAATTTATCCTTAAAAAAATCACTTTTCTACATTCTTATTAATTAATGTGAGGGCAAAATTTTCATGCAAGCTGTGCAAAAAGCAATTTTCCTTCGCGAAAGGGAAATCGGCAAACAAGCGAAGAGACCGAAAATCAATCTACCTGGCTAAAATTTAAAATGCAAATTTTCGCAATATCGCAGCTTTTGCGAATAGGATTAGAATAAATTACAACCATATTGCTGCTATATTGATTTTAACATGATATTTTTAGCACGCAAGCTCCTTGCTCTCTCTTGAGGTAAAATGAAAATTTCCGAGTGTTTACAAAGGGCTCGCCGGAACAACACTACTCGCTATATACCAAAAGAAACTGCTGCTACCCGCTTATCTTTCTCACACAGTGCAGGAGCAAACGTGCACGCAATCCTCTTACACCCAACTTTTGGCAATTCTGAATAATATGAGATTCTGTTTGCGACCAGGAAAACATGAGAGGTGAATAAGGAGATTTTGGATACCGACTCTGGTGAAATTTGAATTCCAAATACACCTTTGTATCAGAAAGCACTTTAGATTTCATTTTTATATGTTAACTCATGCTTTTTAATATAACATTTCATCACCACAATGTTGTTTTTATATGCTTTTTTATATGTTTTTTCCACAATGTCACCAAAATAAGCCAACAAAAGCTATTCAATTGCGAAAGAGTTGGTTCTTGTCAGTCGTCACCAGCTCTAGTAAAAACCTGATTAAAAAAAATTGCTAAATAATTTAAATAAATGGATTTAAATTAAACTTGCTAAACTAAAACCAAAATATGAAAAAAAGTTGTTAAATTTAATAAATAATAATAATTTACCAATTTATATTTTATATAAGCACTGCTTTTTTACAAATGAATGAGATTAATATATATATTTTTTTAATTTCAGCTTTACAAATAATATTTTGAATGGAAATACGATACAAAGATGCCCAAGGAAAGTAAACAAAAGCGCCAGAATGGCAAACTCGTCAATTGATTTCAGAGGCACTGCATGGAAATTGATCTGTTTGTATTTCAATATTCACCAGGTTTGCGGTCAGCCCGCCACCGTTGCCAACAGGAGGGAGAATTTCAATGTATCTGACAAGGGTTCCGCCCTGTGGATTTATGAATAATATTACGCCAACCAGCAAACTTGCATTTCTGCGTGTAAACAAGTGGTTTTGTAAATAAATATCTCATTTCCCACAAACGGAGCAATATGCAAATTTCAAAAATTTTATGAAGAACATCCGAATGATTTTTTTAACTTGAAAATTTCTTTGATGGGTTTTTAATTTACTGATATTACGGAATTCCGTTTGATTAACATTGAGCTTTGATCGAGGAGTGACCCCCTGAATACACAAATTAAAACACTTCAAACAACCCCCTACTTAGTTCCGGCGTTCCGAACTGCGCGTCAAGTGCAAAACTAATAGCAAAACAGCTAAATTTAATCAAAGCCCGATCGGATCCATCTAGCGTTCGGTGTTTGCGCAAATTAGTTAGACGCTTTGTTTGCTGCAGACACTCCGAGCTCAATTGGGTAGATTCGGCGGCCCTGTTAATTTTCCCCACTCTTCCATCTGCCAATCATCCGACCCTTCAACCGGGAAGAGTCACTGCTTTTATTTTCCCTCAACAAGCAGAATTTTTTACTGCACCACGGAGAATTCTGTGAATGTTGATTAAGTGAAATTCAACGAACCGCGCACTCTGCCAAGCGTTAAATTTTGAAAACTCGCGCGGAGAGCAAATATTTTCGCCCTGGATGAGGAGTATGTGCTTCTAGTAATTACATTCAGTTGGTGCAAGTTGAATGTGCCGTAATTGTATGCGAGCGTGAAATTTCATTCGAGCAATTCATTAAATTACAAATGTGCTCTGCTTCCTCTTAATTCAAAATAAAAAATAAAATGTAAAATTAATTTGGATTTTGTTTGAGCTAATTTTTTTCTTGCTTTTTCTCCTCGTTGCATTCAAGCTTCTCAAAATCTTTCTTCTTTAAATATTTCCAGTAAATTCAACACCACAGAAGGCCACAATAGGTTTTTGTTTTTTGTTTTAATAAACTCTCTGCTTTATAATATTTTTCTTCAATGGCAGAAAGCAGTAAAATAAATGCAGCGCGTCATTCTCGGTGGTGACCTAATGGTAAGCTCGCGACCTACTATGCAAAGTGCACCGTTCGTACTTATCCAAGCGTGGAACTTTTCTATGTCTTTTCATTCTATATTCGGATTACGTGCGGAAATAAGGTATGTGAATGTCGGTGCTAGAACGGAGTGAGACTTTTTCAAGCGTTTTATTTTTCCGCGCACAAAAAGCGCCAGCGGCGAAAGCGAGCTAGCGTTTTTCCATCTTCTTTCCGCACGCCGAGCAAACCACCGGCCACACGGAATACAAATGGGAAAATCCATACAGCTGTTTTGATGAGCGGCGTTTTTTGCTCAGCCACGACGCGGTGGGTGTTTGCAGGCGTGAAAGAAAAAAGGGCTAAATGCGCACAATTGCGTCGTAAATTAGAGGAAGGGGCGATTTGTATGTCCGCGCTTCATTTCGCTCGCAGGTAAATTGCGAATTGCCGGTGTTGTTGCAGCGGGCCTTTGTTAGCGAGTTTCTTGTTTCGCGGGAGGAAAAAGTTAGAAAATTAACAATGCGCTTTGATGAGGTAGAAGGCGAACGGCGCGTTTGTATGTAGCTTGCCTCACCAGACACGTCATTAAGAGGCACAGAAAAAAAGTAGTACAAATGATAAAGGAGAAGCGTTTCATAACATCATTAATTATTTTCAAAGAGTAGAATTTTGTTTCAGAGAAAAATAAATTCTAGAAGCTATTACTGTTAAAAATGCGACCTAAATATTTCAAGCAAAATGTGCAAATTGAATTAATCTGAAATGAAAATATATAAATACTTTTTTAGATACATTGATGTTTATACCTAACTCAGCTGAAAGCAAACTTTAAAAGACTTCTTTTGAGCTTTTAGAACTGCGTCTTGAGATTGCAAAAAATACATCCTTACACCCAAAAATTTACAAAAACTAAATCGATGAATTAATTTAATTGACATCAAAACAATTATAAATCAATCTAATTTCTAATCATGACAGAAACAAACGAAACTCATGGAAGTCGTTACATATGGAAAAGATTTCGGTTACAAATTTTTAAGTTAGAAATATTGTTATTTTTTAAGTCTCAATTAAATAAAAAATTGGAACTAAACCTCAACAAGCGAAAAATGATACAATTAAAAAAATATCCACTTACTTTATTGATTACAAGTGCATTTGCACCACACTTGATGAGCAGCTGGACGGCGTCCTTGTGTCCATGCCAGGCGGCCATCAGGATGGGACTCATCCCGTATTTGTCTTTGGCCTCGATGTCGCACCTTGCTTCAATCAGCAGCTGCATTATGTCTGTGCTGCCCCTGGACGAAGCCCAGTGAATAGGTGCTCGCCCGTACTGCAATCAGATTATTTAGATTAAGATTGTGGAGCAGTATCAAAGATTTATATGCTTAAGTAAAATTTTAACAACTTTCAAAATAAATTTGTAACAAAATTGAATTGAAAACACCATAAATTCTGTTCTTTTATTAGTCAAAATAATTGAAATGGTTAATAACCAGTATAAATAATAAATAAAAATATGTTTTTTTTTCAAAATACACGTTGTTAATGAATTATTTTTAAATATTTTCAATTGTTTATTGTTTTCCATTTAAAAAATATATATATATATATATATATATATATATATATATATATATATATATATATATATATATATATATATATATATATATATATATATATATATATATATATATATATTAAAAATTATTTGAAATAATATAAAAATTGCAGGGTGTAGGGTATTGAAAAGTGCATTTATTTCACTTACAATTAGTTGACATAATTTTGGGGTAGATATAATTCAATCTAATTAAAACGTTTGAAACGTTATCAACAAATTAGTAATTTTAGTTAGACTCTTATAAAAACTAAATTCATTTTTATAATTTATTCAAATGTGGCTGACTTTTTTCACTTAAATGCAGGGAGACGCATCCAAGCAGATATTTCATTGGACTGGAATTTTTCATCATTTTCATTTAATGAGAATGTCCTAAAATAGATCGCGCTTTTTTGTCAATGATCAAAAAGCTTGTTCAATTCAAAGTCAATCGGGATCAGCAGAGCCGGGGGTTTAATCAAACTCAAGTGGGCCGGAAATGTAATTTACGATCTCATATGCTTGATAACAAACGCGCTCCAACGGATTAGGGGTGATGCTCGGAAAAAAAACGGCAAGAGCTGCTCGAGTTCTAATTTTGCCCAGACTTGTTTGCCCCTCGCTCGCGATATAGACAACTCTCTTTCCGACAACACGGACCGTGATTAAAATGCTCAGGCAGGAGGAAAAAGTGCTCGTGCACTGAAATAGATGGGCTTGAAACTTTTGCATAGGGTTCTAGTTTATCCCTTGCGAGAAGAGAACTGCGAGAAGGCTTTTTGGAAGTATCTCACGTGTGCAAAACGAATGGATCCTCGGGGATCTGCACATGAATGGAAACGCTCTTTTTACGCGCCAAGGTGTTTTATTTATGGCCGGGCTCTTTTTCTCTTGGCCAGCGGATCGAATTAAAATGTAGAGCGTGCTTTATTGCTCCCCACATAAATCGACTTTTATCTGACCGGGAAAATTCAGGCGAGACGAACTTTAGCAAGAGAATTTATGACTGAATATTGAACGCAGTTTTCGAGTGATGAATACAATTTTTACATTAGCTGGTTTTAATGCTCTTTTCCCTTGAAGTTTAAATAGATAGATTTGAGATAATCTTGTTTCAACATGCCACTCTCTTTATAAGCGGTCACCTTTGATAAATTTGTGTTTTAGCAAGTTAATTTTATGCTGGCAAAGAACTGTTTTAAATTTTCTAATGTTATTGATATAAAATCAAGAGACAAATTTATCTTGATTTAATTTTACATTAAAATCTGCCTGTGCATGTTCTTTTGGAAATAATGGGGGATATTAACTTACTAAGTTAGCACCAGCAAATCCCATAAACTAATTAAGCATGTGATAATATCCCCCAATTTATTACAAAAATTGGGTTTCATTAAATTTATAACAATATAATCCTAGACCTTTCCAAATCAAGCTTCTCTTATTTTAATATTCAAACCACTTAAAATTTTTTATTTCCCGATGAAGGTTTAAAAAAATCACAGCTATTCTTCCAAACAAATGAAAGTGAAAATGACAGGCTCACTTTTTGTAACCGTCTTTCTTCCTAAAAATGATAAAAAATACGTTTAGGTGTAACTGACAAGGCGAAAATAATTGTTCTTAAGCTTTTGATTGATCTACCGTCAAACTTTCCTTGCAAATGCAACTTCTTCTTCTTCTCTTACTGCGAAATTAAAAGTGAAATTGGCACATGAACAAAATAATCCCCGAGCTCATGAGCACAATAATCTCCCTGTCGGCGCAAAAAGGACAAAATGAGCGACCGGCCTTGCTCGCCATAAAACACACGAGACATAATAAAACACGTGGAGCCGCAGTTATCCTGTTGAGCGCCGTTTCGCATGAATAATAAACGCCCGGCACAATATAAGCGCGATTAGCTGGACCGATAAGCTCGGTCTGAACGCCTGCTTCGAGCACAGTTGGCAACCGGCACCACTCGGCTGCTCCACAATAAGCCTAACTACGACCGCCAGCGCTGAAACGACCCACTTGTAATGCAAACGGGCCGTGCAAAGAAAGAAATAGTTGGCGAAATTGAAAAAAAAAATGGGAGATAAAGAGAAAATAATTTATCAGCTGTTAACTATCACAAATTCCCAATAAAAAAAATTTCTTTTCTCTTCATAGTTTTTACGGCAAAAATTATACTTTTAAAAGACATAAAGAATTAAATTTTGATATTTAAATATTCTATTGGACTTTTCCTTAATATTAAATTTCAACTTTTTAGCACTTATCATGAGATTTTTCTAGGAAATGTTATAATTATTTAAAAGGGTAAGCATGTAGCAAAATGTATTTTAATTTAACTTACATCCCATTTCATACTTTATCATGTAATGACTGTTGGGAAACTCAAATCCCTCAAGAAATCAAGGAATTCGCTAAAGTCGGTGGTGGTGCGAGGTTTCCCCAGAGATAACTGCCTCTCCAGAGACGCGGTAATGATAATGCGGCTGAAACGCACACGGTCTCCCATCAAAAGCATCTCGCACGAGTTGTGTTCTCAAAATAATGATCTTTTCGTTCGCTCAGCCCTTGTTAAAGCGAGAGCGACCGGCTCAGGTACTCACATTATTCCTCGAGTTGACATCAAGAGGCTCTTTCAGGATGGCTTCGACGGCTTCGGCGTCGTTCTTAATTACGGCCTCGTGCAGCAGCAGGTCGTTCTTCAGGACTAAAACAACACAAAAGAGAATGAAAAATAAAAAAAGTGAGTTCGCGAGTGATTCGCGTGGCGCGCGAGAAGAACTTTTCTTTCTTTTGCAGCGACGAGCGATGAATAATTTAGATCCTTTGTGCTCGCCTGAGAAACTCAAAGTTCCCAACAATGAATTAGTGATGCGTGTCTTCTGGATGATTTAAATAGACTTTCCACATCAAACAATTTTACTTTTGATGGAAATATTTGAAAGTTTGTAAATCATGTAATAAATTTCTTACAGAAATCAACTTTTCATAAAAAAAAAAAAATGTTTTTGACTAAAAAAAACTTTAATTTCATCTTATTTGAACTTATTGCCGAAATTTTCAAAGATGATATTATGATAATTCAATATTAACCAAAACTACGCTGGGGGGGAAATTTAATCGTCCTTTGTCACTTTTAGAAGAACTTTTGATAACGAAAAGTTAGCAAAATAATGGAAAAGATTTAAATTTCTTCTTTTAAAACATCAATAATTACTTAGTAAATAAATTGCTTTTCGCATGCCTAGCCTCAAGTCTTAAAACAAACAAATTCACAATTGAATCTAGAGTTTCTGTTCAATAATATTAGGAAAAACAAATCTGGTTCTTAAAGAGACCTGGAAATTCAATTACAAATGAAAGCTAGCTGATTTCATCTAAGCTCTTTCTTCCTTGTTCAACAGGACTGCTTCTTTTGTATGTTACAATTAAAATCAAAGTTTCGCCATTCAGTTCACACGAAATCTCTTGCAAAACCGCATGAGTAGTGGCACAGGGTGCGTCTGACTGATAAAGAGAAAAAAGCCCCAGCACGTCTAGGCCTGACGTAAGTGAAATTTATTGGGGTCGCCGGTTTAATTCCGGCGCCACCTGTGACCCTCCGCAGCAGCAGCCTTAACTAAGACTTACGCCGTCGTGATGGTGCTCTTGATATTCCGCACCCTCGCTCGCCCCTTTTCTTGATCAGTCCCTAATGAGTCCGCAAACGAGAAACTAATTGTCGGAAAAATTTGCTGCGGCAATCAAGAGACGACCAGGAAAGGAAAAAAGAAATAGGCATGTGCAAACATAAAAAAATGTGGTCAAACCTTTCCCCTGCTCTCTATTATTTATCTCCTGTTGGGAGATAAAAATTAATGTGTCTGCAGAGAAGATTTACTCTTTTTTGTTTGCGCTGTGAAGATATTGTGTGCACAGCAGTCTTTCCAGTTTCCACTCCTGAAAACGCAATATTTATTTCAAGATTGCTGCATGACCTTCATTTGTTAGAGCGTAGAAGAGGGAAAAGATGAAAAAAAAATGAAACGATCATAACATTCACGACCTTGAACGAAAGTAATAGAACTGTTCAAACTGAGCTTGTGCATGTTTTTCATTTCTGGGTTGCAAAAAGTTGTAAGGTCCCAATCGGTCCCCGCAATCATGAACAAAAACATGAAAATTCCCATTGCTTCCCAACCCTTTCTCTTTCTTCCAATTCATCCCCGTGTATGTTTTTCGTTTTCATCTACCTGGCTCCTTTTTCAATTTGTAAAAAGCCAAGGAATTTCGCACGCAGCGGATCCCTGGTGCGGCTCCACCTTATTGTCTCTAATGATGCACCCTCTCCATATCATCTCGCCGGGTTTTCATTCATATTCCGGCGCAATCCGTGCTCTAATTCGATGTTCCGCTCAGCGTGGTGGAAAGCTTTTCAATTATGAGTCCTCCCTGCGCAATCGTAGCCCAGCAAGTCGCAAATTTTGAAATGTTCGCCCCCGCCGAAAGGACTTCATATTGACTTTTACCCTTGCTCTCCGAGCAAATAATTTGCTATAAAATGACGCAATAAAACTTTTTAATTTAAGGACAGTTTACTAAAAGAAGAAAGTTCAGGCGATAAAGGGCAGACTGAGATATAATTAATTACAGCGTGGAAGGGCGTTGAAAAAGAATGGCACACTTTATTGCTCATAAAAAGCTCGTTGGCCTGTTTAAATTAGAGCGTTTTTTTTATTAAACTGGAACGGAGATGGATGATAAGAAATGTGTTTTGAAGTATTTTGTATATTGTTTAATTAATTTGTTTTAAAGCAGATTGAAAATAATTTATCTTTCCAAGATCACTGCTTATACAAATAGTAAAAGAAATTTTAGCTCAATGACAAGCTTGAATCATTTCTAGGTGTACGAAAACTGTTGGTGTCAATAGGTATTGAAAAATATTATCAAAACATCTGTAATGAGAATTAAAGTTTAATAGTATTAGAAAATATTCCTTTGCAAGCTATCGTAGCAACCATAAACAACGACAAATATAAATTTGGTTCTCATTTCAAAATATATTTTTGAAGATTAAAGTCAGGTTAAAGTATGCATCAATTGCGTAGTTTTATTAGTTTATATAAAAAACGTTAGATTTAAATTCATTTACATATTAAAAATTATGAGAAAATTATGTGAAAAGACGAGTAGTGCACTTAAAAGTTTATAAACTTCAATGTTTTTTTTAAATCTCTATTAAAATTTATATTACTTCTAAAACTTAAAAAAAATTGTACAAAGATTTATTTTAAAACAAAGTTTATTTTGCAATAATATAAAATGAATCTATAATGCTCCTACTAACTCGCAAATTGATTTATTGATAAATTCACAGGATATCTTTGAAATTTTGGACATATTCAATAATTTTTTGTTAATGGAATAAGAAAATATCAATGTTAAAATGCCTTTAGCGTCACCCCCCAATAACACTTGGTCAAGGCCTGGCCGGACCTGAAAATAATGAACTAGAAAAAATTTACTCACATCTGGGGCTGCGTGGTCTGGAGGGCTCGTCGAGTCCCTCAAGCGGAGGCAGCCCCGAGGGCGAGGGTCGGCGGCTGCGCGAGATGGCCGCAAAGTCCCCGGGGTCCAGTTCATCAGCCATGGCGTCCCCCAGCAGGTCAGGTCACGTCACGGGCAGCATTTCTTAAGGCTGCGTGCCGACGACGTGCAACTTGCTGCCACTCAGCCGCTCGACAGGAAACTGCAATCAAGAAACGGCCCACATCCGTGAAGTGCTTCTTCCTATCGCGAAAGCTTCGAGAGCAGGAAGGAAGAGGAAAGGAAATCTTGGCGGAAAGCTGGGGCAACAAGTACCATAAATTGGGGCTTCTCTTGTTTACTTCAAATATAAGTGAAAATTAAAGAAAAAAAATTATTTCTTTCCTGGAACTGCAGACTTTAAAAATCATGATTTGATAAGTTATGAGGCCAGATTTAAATATTATTTGCAGCTTTAAATTTCAGATTCAAGAAGAACGAAGCTTGAAGTGAAAGTTGCAGGAATATTTATTATTTATTTGCAAGCAAAATTGTATTTCAATTTTGAGAAAAGTTTCACATACATGATTTCATCCAAAATTACAACAATGAAAGCAGTAGCGTGAAATATAATTGCCGTACAAATTTTTTTTGCTATATTTGCACCCTTGTATTTGTGATTTAATTATTGAAAGTTTTTTTAATATTATAAAGCGCCTTCCACAACATTAGTCAAAGACAAATTGCAAAGGTGTCCCTTTTTCGCCACGCACACCACCATTTTTCATGATTTTTTTTTACTTCATACGAGCGTTTCACAATGGAATGACTCGAGAAAGTATCCGCCACCACTATCTTTCCCCGGCTCGCGTCAAAAGATGAAGATGGCAGGATCGAACAAAAAGCCGGTATCCATCAACGAAGCCAATAATCCGGGCCCGCTTTTTCCTGCCATAAGAGCAACGCCTCTTGTGAGACACGATAAATCATTCCCTCTAAGAAAAAGACCTGTAGACCGTATCAAACTTTCTGCACTTATGGCAAAAAATTGACTTAAAAAAATCACAGGCAGCTAGCTCAAAATTCCTGAAGAAAATATTATAAAATATATTATAAATTTGAAATTTATGAACCTTTCTTTCAAATTTAATAAAGTTTAAAAAAAAATCATAACTTTCCTTTAGTTTGGAGTGAAAGTGTATAATTGTTTCTGTCTCCCCGCATCAGGCGTGTATCAAAATCAAATTGCATTTCACAAAGTTCTGCCTGGTGGTGCTGGTTGAGCGGCTGAAAGCTTTGCTGCTTCTCGTCTCTCTCTGCCTTGCTGCTATTTTCGGGCAACCTGTTATTGTTTGCCGAGAGCAATTTCACCGCTTTTTTTCCCGCCAGCGTCGAGTTGGTTTCCGATTGCAATTAAGTTGCAAAAGTCGCTCTTTGCTCTCTCGGTGGTGAGCGGATTAAAGGCAGGGAAAACTAAAGCGATCTTAGTAGGGAGAAAACTTTCTCAAGCGCCGTTGTTTGTTTAATTTGCGCGACGATTCTAGGGCGAAGAAGAAGATCCTCTGCGAAATAAATTGATGAGTTAAGTATTGAACGACGTGACAGCAGCGTAAATACTGCGATGTTAAAAGTACCAAGCTACACGCAGCCAATTATTATAAGCGGCTTAAATATTAGAGTTTGTGAGCTTCCAGTTAATATATTATTTGGTTGTCTTTCTATAAAAAAATTAAAAAATTTGGCATTTCAATCTAAATTAAAAATAGAGTTAGAATTTTTTATTAAATCATTTTGGTTTGCAAATATTTTTATCATCATCCACAATGTATTTAGGTCATTTTGAATTTTTCTGTTAACAACCATGGGAAAAATTCACCAGTTTTGAAGTTTGAAATATAATTAAGAAACTTTATAGTAATTAAATTTGTCTGTATTAAATCATGATAAATTGTTTGTAATCAGCACATTTAATATTGAATAACGTAATTTCCTTATTTTCTTTTTTTCGTGCTCAAAACTTTGATATTCAAATTTATGGTCGTCAAAAATTTTTGTTCTAACATTTACATTTCAGTTTTAATGCAGAAGGATGATCAAACTTCATTATTTTGGAAAGCCCATAATTATTTTCATGAATTATTCTGAGTGTTTTTATTCATTAGTGCGACTCGCCCTCATTTTTAATAGCAGGTTTTCACCCAATCAAGCAGACTTGTGTATGGAACGCGTTATTTAAGTGTCCGTGCGACAAGTTTACCTTTAAATAATCCTCATTTTGGTCGTCCGTGCCACGTAATTACATTTTGTCTGTCCCTTTCTCGTCCTCATGTTATGTTTTTGTTCATGTCCTTCATTCTCGTCTTTCCAGCAGGACAAAAGGGGTCGAGTTAATAAAACGACAACGAAAACGAATGGTCGACAGGATGTAATTTATGCGTGTTTTCAAAGGACCGTCGTCAGGCACGCTTATTAATTATTTCAGCTCGACAGAAGGATTAATTAATTGCACGGCGCGTCACGCGTCAAAGCGAAAGTTTTGCAGCAAGCCTATGTATTGCAAGTACGCGTACCGAGTATAGTAATAATAATAATGCAATATGAGACCCAGTCCGCTGACTGACAAGAGATTTATGCTCAGAATCTTCCTAGAAATGTCATCAGTTACATTAACTGGAATTTTGCTCTTTAACGAGTTGTTGATAGTTTAATTTCACACACAAAATGTCATAAAAATTTTTGTTTTTTAAACAAGGGGTGTGGAATGTGAAATTTTGCAAGGACGAAAATAGTGTTAAATATAGCAGTCATTAAAACAATTAATATAATTTAAATTTAACCATCAAGGCAGATTTGAGATATCATGAAAAAATAAATAAATCAAAAAATAAAAATATTTTTTAATAGATAAACTTCACATTTTAATTAAACAGTTTACTGTAACCTGCCCTGAACCTGCCCATCCCATCCAAAAAGACTAGAATTTGCAACAAAATAATTATTTAATTTTTCGGACTTTACCATACTATTAACATAATTATCACATTTCTAACAGCAACAAAAATTTTCAAAGTTTGTAAAGTTTTGTGATGCATTATGTCCAACAACTGATGTTTTGCCTCCAATCAATTGCGTTGCTTGTTTTTCTCTCCATATATTTATTTCTTTTAACTTGTAACTGCGAATTTTTAGTTAAATTTTGAGCCTAACACGTCGCGTTTCAGGTAAATCACTTTGTTCACGTCAATGTCACAATATTTCATTGATTTTCCTGCACAAATGGTCTAATTACAATTCAATTTTTACCAATATAATTTATTTTATGCATGGAAATTTCAGTCGAATTTCAAATTTGCAGCCGTATATTGATAACTCCAGACTAGTAAATATTTATCAATGGTTTTTTCCTCAAACTTTCCGAGTTATTCTCTTTTTTCCTGACAGTAAATATTCAAAAGTACTACCAATACTGCGATAACCAATACCGTTGCGAGGACACATTCGCAGAGTGTGCCATTTGATATTTGACGCCGCTTTTTGGCCTCCTCGATATTGCATACTTTCCGTCTGCCTTGTTTGCCAGCGGCAAATAGCATTTCCGTTTTTTATTCTACCCGAATGTATTTTTTTTTTCATTCTGCCACACAAAAATATAAAAAAGAAGGAAAAGAAGCGTGCGCCAATAAACATTACATTTACATCTGACGTCAAGACGCGGGGAAATAAATATATCTCTCGCTCGTTTGTTGCACACCGCGGTTTGCTCTGAATAAAACCTTTTATGTGTTTGTGTATTTATTCGAGAAAACCAAAGGCGTCTGCCCGGTTGACAGCTCCCCCGAAATGCTTTTTTTATGCTGCGGTGTGTGTTCGTTTCGTCGGCGGCAGGTGCGTGTCTTTCTATTCGACCTGGTACCAACTCGAGCGAAAGCACCACCGGTGTGGGGTGGATCAAAATTTAACAAGTCAGCGAGTTGAACATTTCAACGCGGAATGGTATGAAATTTCCAGACTTTCATGTTGTGTGCGGCGACAAAAAGCTTTGGGTGCCCTTTTTAGTTATCAGATTAAATGTCTACTATATTGCAAACACTAATATGCTTTTTCCAATTTATTTTCACCATTTAAATAACATTTAAAGTTTTAATGCTGATTTTAATCAAAAATAATTTAATGTCAAAGTTGAACACGGATTGGTAAAATAAATTGCTTTAATGTGAATAATATTTTGAATTCTATTACGCAAAAAATTAATATTGCTCTCACTAATAACGTGTTAAAATAAATTAGTTTAATTGATCCAATTGATCTATACCGAATATTATTTGTAGTTTCACTTTTGATAAAATGCAGTGAATATAAAATTTATCTCTATGTGGTTAGAATTTTGAATAATTTGTAAAATTCTGAATGCAATTATATGATGTATCCCGTTATGGGCAGCAATTGCCTTTGTGAGAGATCAATAAACCCAATTTGCATTTAATTTTCACTGTGTGGTTAAATATTAGCAAAAATTACTTTTAATGGAATTAAAATTGAGTAAACTAAAATAGCTATTCATAATCCACGGATTAATCTCTTCAGCCTTCTAATTTTAAGTTTTTGACTTCAAAATGAGCACGCATTTTGAACAGGCGCGTGTATTCAACTGGCATTCAAGAGAGAAAATTGAGGTCTGAAAGATGTACAAGAGGAAATAGCCAGCAGCTCGCATGCTGGAAGTTTCCCTCTCGGGTATTTGGTGCGTGTGAAGTTTGAAAGGATTTGCGCGTGAATTAGCGCAACCCAGGCTGGCAACTGGCCGAAAACTCTGCAAGGAATTCAGAGAAACTCAAGGCAAAAGTGCGGTGCAAAAAACGTATATGTTTCCAACAGACCGCTACTCACATAGACCCTCATGATGAAACATTGCTTGGGGCAAAAATAAATTACATATTTATTTTATTTACTAGCCTTTTAAAATTAATAATTAGAATGAAAAGTTCACAAGGAGAAATTTGTTTAAATCAGTATAAATTGATTATAAAGTATGTAATAAATTTTTACATGAAACAACCACATTTAGAAAAAAGAAAATGACCAGATTGCACATTCCGTGTTTAAAAAACGGGATGATTAAGGCAATATTTTTTATTTATAAATGCACAATTATTTAAATTTTCTAAATGCACACCGTGGAAAACTTATTAATAATCAAAATTTTTAGTCGAACCTCGTTGCAAC